CTTGCACAGAAAAGCCCCTGGAAATGGCCTGGATGAGCTGCAGGTGGGGGGGGGCGGGGCCTCCGGGAATCACGGGGCGGGGCCAAAGGGGTGAGTCACGTGCTGGCGACTCAAACATGGCGCCCGCCTGCGGGCTGTGCGGGGAGGACTTGCCACAGGAGCCATGGCCTCCGCCAGCCCTTCTGCCCGGGAGGAAGCCGCCCTCCGCCTCTCGCCCCGACTCCAGGCAGGTTAGTTCCCCCCGAGTGTCCCGGGTCCTTTCCGGCTGCTCCCGGCGCTGGGCTCAGAGGGAGCGTCCGAGTGAGTCCGTGCCGGGCCCTTTAGAGGAGCTGCTGGGGCTCCCGCAGCCTCCGCGACCCTCAGGGACAGTCCCCGCTGGTTTCACAGCCCGGAGTTGTGGGGACGTCTCTTCCCGGCCCTGGAGCCCTGGGCTGGGGGCCTGTGTGGGGCTGGGACCCCTCGCTCCTCTGGGAAACCCCACCGCCTTCCCGGGTTTACCCCGCGGCACCCGTTGTGGGCCCGTGGCTGCGTCTCCGCCCCTCCTGGTCTCGGTGCTTCCTCAGCTCCCTGGCTGCGGGGCTTCTGTGCAGCCGGGTCTCAGGGGCTCTGAGTGAGGGTGGTCTGTGGTTTAGTTGTGATTCTGATGTGGCTGCGGAGGCGGCGGGGATCGCGGTTACCTGCGCCGCCATCTTGTTTCTCTCTACATCTCACTTGAATCGTAGGCTTGTCTGTCTTTCCTCTGTGACATTAGGCTTCCTCCTGACTCTCTCATCAGCATGTACCAGTGGCTTTACTTTCCCATCTTCTATCTTTCTATTGTTATGATACCACTGCACCAAGCTGTTTAGTGGTCTTTACAACTCCTGAGAAGTTGTGCGCCTTTGTCAGGTCATTCCAGTAGATTAGAGTTCCCACCCATTTGACCTGCAGCCTCCTAGGATCCAGGCGATCCGGGTTCGATTCCCGGTCAGGGCACATGCCCGGGTTGCGGGCTCGATCCCCAGTCGGGGGCGTGCAGGAGGCAGCCGATCAATGACTCTCTCATCATTGATGTTTCCATCTCCCTCTCTCCCTCCTCTTTCCTCTCTCTGAAATCAATAAAGATATGTTTTAAAACAAATAAACAAACAAACAAAAAGAACCTATCAAATAATTCTAAGTGACTTATGTAGTGAATCGTTAGCCGGTTGCCCTCCTCCCTTCTAACCCATAAGCAGAGGCATCCATGTTCAAAGAGTTCCACTGCCATATATTTGTAAACAATATACTTATACAGCTGTTGCTCCTATTCCCAACTTGTTTTCCCTTTTGTTAATAGTTGCCTGTTTTCAAATTTCCCTTGAACGTTCACCCTCTCTTTTCCCCCCATC